CCCACTCCAGTGCTTCCGCCTTTTAGCTATTGTGAATAGCGTCCCTCCGAACATGAGTTACAAGCCTCCCTTTGAGCCTGTGCTTTTCAATCCTTTTGAGTATGTGATTGGTTTGTTTTTGCTTTGAATGGAAGCATCTACAGATAGATGCAACTTGGTAGTTTTTTTATAGGCTAGTGAACTCTAGTGATTTTCTTAAAATTTTACTGTGTAGTTAATTCTTTGAAAGAAAAATAATGTGACAAAATAAAAGTTTCCTCAGGGAAAAATGTGTCGTTTGGAAGAAGTACACAGAAGGCATTTCTCCCATGAGTTTTGGTGTGGATTTATCAAGAAGTTGACACTAGAGATAGTTTTTGTTTCTGTATGATTTCTTAGTTTTTTGTTTAGTGCTTTGGTAGGCTCTTCATTTCTTCATTGAATTTCACTCATACTTTTAGTCTCCTTTTTGTAGGAGGCAGGAGAGAGTGAAACTAAGTACTGATGAGTTTTTAAGTTGGCAGCACCAAAATGCTTTTAGGAGCTATCGTTTTATGTAATGAGACTACGAAAATAACTACCACATTATAGGGTATTTTAATTTAGATATGAGTGTCTTGAGGCCTTTCCCCCAGTTTTTAAAGACATGTACATACACAACTTTGTGTGGATGAAATTCTAATGGATCCTTAGCTAAATTTGAAAATGAAAAGACAAGAGAGAGTGAGTATAGCAAAATTTGCAAAACCTCCCATTAGAATAATTCAGTGATTCTAAAGGGTATGAGTTTGAAATGCTTTTTACTGTTTTATTTTTAGTACTATATTAAAATGACACTATAGTTTTCAGGATGGCTGTGATATATAGGATTAAAAAATTATCGTTTGCCAGATACAGTAGCACATGCCCGTAATTTAAGCTACTTGGGAGGCTGAAGCAGGAGGATCACACTGAGCAACTTAGCAAGCCCTTGACTCAACCTAAAATAACAACAGCAACAGCAACAGTAACATTAATAAGTCTGGGCCCAAGGCCCAAGCTAGGTGCCGTTTCCAGCCCTGGAAAATTTTTTTCTTCCAAGCTTGAAGACATACAACATTCCACCTTTTATATTTCCAAAATGGAGAAGACGTTAGTGCTTCCTGTTTAATTCCATTTAGGGAGGAATGGACTTAATCTAGAACGGATTTGTTGAGGCTTCCTCCATGGCCTTGTTGCCGTGTGAGGTAAAGGAGTCGTGAGAGCCGAGAATCTTAGTGACAGTGACCAGTTCCGCGTGACACCTGCCCCTCTGCCCTCCTCACCGCGAGGGGGTCCACAGGCCACAGGGCTGACCGCCAGGGGTGCCCTTTCTGGGCGGGAACTTCTGACTGGGCAGAGCCCCTGTTTCTGCTGTGTTTCGGTCGCGCGGGCGCGATCTAGGCCCGTCGGAGATGCTTTCAGGATTGTGTCTGCCCCATGATTGTCTTGAGGGTGAAGTGAAACATTGGAATTATTCATATTTTCTGGCATGTAACACATGCGTAATAAGTGTTAGCTTCTAACCACGAAGAGGTCCTGCGGACCGGAGTTCACCGTGGCTTTGCCGCTGTAGCGCTTGAAGAACCTTTACTAAGCAGGGTTCATTTCACTTCACGACGTGGCACTATTTTAAGCAGTAAAAGGTGCTGAGACTGTCGATGTTGTAGAACCCAAACATGTAGTTTTTAAAAAATTAAGCTTGTTTTCTTAAGAATTATTGATGGAATAATCTTTCATATTATTTCTTAGAATGGTTTTAATGTAGATCAAACATAAGTAGGTTTTGAGGTAAGTTGTCCATAGAGTAATTTGATTTCACTTGCAAAAATTTTAGTTAGATTTTTTTTTTTCCATTTAAAATGGGTCATCACTAGAAACAATTCATTTATTTGGCAAGCTAGTCCTAGCATGTAGGTCTGTGCAGCAGGGAGAATTCTAAAATGCCTGTGTAATTTTAAAAGTTGTTTGCTGCTGTTTGTCTGGGGAGGTCATAAAAACTGCAAAACCTCTTGCTAACTCCAAGAGAAATAAAAGCTTAAAGATATACCAAGGTAGAGAGAATTTGCTAATATTTTAAACTGTCTGGTTTGAAAGGAGGGACAGGAATCTAGTACTTGTGCTTTATATTGTCTTTGGTAGTTACAGTGAAACATTTAACTTGTCCACAATGGGGGTGTAATGCATATGTCTCACTGCCAGACAGCTTGAACCAGCGGTGGTGCATGCGTGACTGTCCCATTGGGTGGCTTTTTAATTAATATTATTAGTAAAAAATACCAATAAAAGTGATTGAATCTGGTTGTACCACCAGTGGTACAAGCTGCCCAATGAGGGGGCTTGCTTTATTTTTGAATAAAGAAAGATAACTTTGAGTTTTAGTTTCCTTGCTAATTTTAGCCCCTCAGCTGTGAAAGATCACTCATTGCAGGTTATGACAGCTGTTCTTATCAGAACCCAGTGTTTGGTCAAGAAATAAAAGATGACAAGTGACTAGGAAGTTACTAAGGGATTTTAGTCTGGAGAAGAGAGAACCTACATCTGCTGAAAATGTGCTTTGGAGGTAAGGATGCTGACCCTAAAGCCATTTGTTCACACTTCCTTTAATGACAGGGACATGAGAAAGACACAAGAACATGCTACATTTCCCCCTAAATTTAAAGCATGTTCTTTGTTGCATAAGAATTTTTTCTTGGGTTTGCTATTTTTTTTTTTTTTTGGACAAAATACTGAAAGATTCTGTGTGCCATCTGCTTTGTCGCAATCAATTTTAGATCAAAACCCTAAATTTAGATTGAGTCCTCATTAATTTAACCTGCAGCTTTTGATACTTTTTAAGATAAGCATTTCTGGAATAGCTGCTAGCTTATTTTGTGGGTGATAGATATAGTCTGGTTATTGGAGCCGCTGGGCTTCGAGTCTGTTAAATTGGCCTCTGATGTTAACTTGGGCGGGCTAAAGACGGCTTTGGATTCAGAAAAAACAGCGAAGCCCAGAAACAGAAATTACTACCAAAATTTTATTGCTGTGTGTTCTACACTATCTTGCTTATTAAACTTGATACTGTTTTATATTTGAATATATTTTTATTATGATCTGTATAAACTTGGAATATTGAGTGCATAGTTCAGAGATGATTGGAGTTGTTACCAACTCCAAGGTTAAAGTAATAATGGAAAGATTTATGTAGGAGGCGGGAGGATGAGGAACATGAAAACAATTTTTTTTTTGAGACAGTGTCTTGCTGAATTGCCCAGGCTGGACTAGAGTTTGCGATCCTCCTGCCTCAGCCTCCCAGAGTGCTGAAATTATAGGTGTGTGTCACAGTGCTCAGCTGAGGAACATAAACTTTTATAAAACAAATAAATCGTCAGTAAGCAAAACCATTAACGAATGTTTAGTTTTCTTCCCACCAGTCTTTCACTTTGAAAAGGAAGCACTCAGTACTCTTAGGTTGATCCATTGTTAACATCCTGTTACTTTTATTCTCTCTTTATGTACATTTTTTTCTGAACCTTTCAAAAATATGTTGTAGATGTTGTTAAGCATCATTCCTAAATACTTAAGAAGACATTCTTCTATCACCCTTAACACTATTGTTATTGTTATTATCGTTGTTGAATCTTTTCCTAATTAACCAGGATTCAATAATACCATCTCATATACATTTTTTTCCCAGTACCAGGAATTGAACTCAGGACCTTGTACTTGCCAGGCAGGTGCGGTGCCACTGAGCTACATCCCTGGCCCTGATACACATTTTATATTAAAAGTTATCCCACAACTTTTTTGATTCACCATGCAATGAAAGTTCATGCTTTGCATTTGATTGTCTCATAATCTCTTTTTAATCTAGAAGAATCCCTCTGCCTTTTATTTTGCTTTGTTTTCTGATGGCTGGAGAGTTACACCAGTGGTAGAATGTTCCACGCTCTGGATGTTGATCTGCCTTTGCCAGAGTTTTAGACTCAGGTTTAGCATTTCAGCAAGAAGACATCTGGGCGGCTACCACTCCCTTGAGGGGCTGTGAGGCCTGCTGGTCCTGCTGTTGGTGACTGTGAAGGCCATCACGCAGTGACCTGCCGGCCACTGTTGCTTGCCAGGGACATCTGCCCATGGGGATTCCGAGGTAGTCTATGGGATGGGGCTCGATATCACACCATACCCTGTTTCCTGAAAGTCTTTTCCAAGGTACTCTTAGGCTTTACGAGTGACTTTGACCTGAATTCTTTGCATTGGAGGGTGCAAAGGGATGATTTTCTAATTCTGTCATCCCTTTTCCATCTCATAAATGGCACTGTGCAAGAATTTCCCCCATGTCCCCTCATCCCATATTAATCTGGATTCTTGGATTTTTCAAATTAAATGTGCTCAGTTGGTTATCAGTGTTATACACACAGATGCACTGATTATCCACATCCAGCCAGCAGGTCCCTGTCAAGCCAGCTTCTATGTTCGTTACATGTAACTCCCTTAGTCTTCATGCACTTCCTTGTTTTCAGGAATAAATTTTTATGTGACTGAAAGTTAGAATAATTTTGTAATAAAGTGAATAAAGATAGCACAGACATTTCACACTATTAAATTATTTTCCTTTGGTCGTCAGTTGTTGGGTGGAAGGTGCTCTTTGCCCGTGGTTTCAGTGATGTATACATGACTGACTTATTGACGGTTATCAGCATATCAAGGGTCTGGCTCTTGGTGTGTTTCTCAAAGTGGGTGGGACCTTTTCTGGGTTGTATTTCGGAATAAAACTCCTGGTGCTGCCTCTGGCACCCTCGGAGGGCCCAGAAATGCAGAATGGCATGGATGCCTCGGGTGGAGAAAGCCCGGGGTGCTTCTGCTCTGTCTCCTTCTTCCCATGTACCGGGGAAGTATAGTTGTGAGGCCTGCGTTGACCAGTGCTTTCTGTCCGTTTCCTTGCCCAGATTTCAGTGAAAAAAACCCCTCTGCTTCTCTGCATCCAGTTGACCTATTTTTTATATTCCCCATCTCTCTTTCAGCGTTGTCATTGAAAACAGTTTAAGCCAATAACTCAGAAAAGGAAGAAGATGCCATTAATTTTCAGCACTAAGGCCTTCTCAGGAGTCGGTGCTGTGCTGTATACTGAATGGAAGCCCTCTTTCCCAAAGTTCAGGTACACGAGACTGCTTCTTTCTACCTTTACAGTAGATGTAAGAGTTTCAGTTTAGGACCCGTGACTTCTTCTTTTTTTTTTTTTTCCATTAAGTTTATTGGTACATTTTAGGTATACAATACAGTTGCAGTCATCATTGGATCTCGTACCTGTACCTGATGGATCTTGGTTCTTATTTTTTCCCCATTCCCCTGCCCTCCCTTCACCCCCTCCACCTTTCCCTATTTACAAAGACTTTGTTTCCATTTTTTCCTTTTCTTGTATTTTTTCTTTTCCCTTCTTTCCTTTTCCCTACCCCTCCTGCTTCCCCTATTCCTTTAGACCTTTTCTTCCTATTTCACAATATCAGTTATACATTTTGATCCTTATTTGCACTTTTAGTTTTTCACACCAGAGAAACTATTTGGTATTTTTACACTTGTGTGTCCTATTTATTTCACTTAAGAGTATGGCCTCAATGTGCATCCACTTAGCTATAAATGTCTCTAGTTTCTCATTCTTTATGGCTGAGTAGTACTCCATTTTACAAAAAACCCACATCTTCTTTATCCAGTCTCCAGTTGATGGGGATTTGGGCTGTTTCCAAGTTTTAGCTATTACAAACTATTACTATTATAAACATGGGTGTGCATATATCACTGTTGTATGATTCTTTTAATTCTTTTGGGAAGATCCCCACCAGGGGAATAGCTGGGTCAAATGGGACTTCCAGTCCTAGTTCTTTGAGGTATCTACGTACTGATTTCCTCAGTGGTTGCACCAGTCTACACTCCCACCCGCAGTAGAGTAGGGATCCTCTTTCCCCACAGCCCCACAGCATTTGTTATTGGTTGATTTCTTGATAGCAGCCATTCTTTCTGGAGTGAGGTGGAATCTCAGTGTTGTTTTCATCTGCATCTCTCCAGTGACCAGTGGTGTTGAACATTTTTTCATATGCTTATTTGCTGCTTTTACTTCTTTGTCTGAGAAGTGTCTGTTCATTTCCGATGCCCACTTTTGAATTTAGGACCTGTGACTTCTGGTGTTGTTTCTACTTTGGTAGAGGCTGGGAGGATTTAGGGGAAGGGAAGGGAAGGAATCTCGTACCAGGCCCACATTTATTCCATCAACTGATGTCTTTGGCTTTCATTTAACACCTGGCAATCTGTTCTGCACGTTATTACTTAAGGTGTGCGCTTCCTTCTTGGCCATGAGAGCCTTTTCAGAGACTGAGTCCCTTGCTGGAATCCATACCCTTTTCCTGCAGCCAGATGCTGGCTGTGCAGCTGGGTAGGGATGCTGGACCAAGAGGTCATCATGCAGCCTCCTGTGTGGGAGGTCATCCTGGCCCATCCGCCAAGAAGAGTTCTGCACAGTGCCTTTTGAGACCGCTGATTTACGAGACTACTTTTCTGTCACTTGTTTCTAGAAAGGAGAAGTCATGTCACTGAGCCACACAGTCAAAAACAAATTAACAGGCAGTAGGGAATTTCTGAGCCATCAGGTGGGAATGGCAGCGAGGACTTCGAAGCACGTCACCCGGGTTCGATTTGGAATGCAGACTCAGGCCAGCTCCAGCCTGGCGAGTCAGAGCCTTCACGGTGACACCTTCTCCAAGGGTTCGGATGCAGATTAGGTTTCAGAAGCCCTGCAAAGAATCTTCACCAGAGTGTCGCCTCTGCAGGGCAGCCATTGAGATGCAGCCTCATTTTGTGGGGCAGCAGCAGATACTGAAGAGCGCACTTAGAAAATCTTTTCCGAGTGAAAGGACTTCAGATCTGTCTTGTGAACCGCTGGCTCCATGCAGCTGTTAGCTATTGAGATTTACACACTCTCCCTTCTGAGAAGATTGAAGATGTTTTCAAATACCAAGAGCGCCATGTTCAGAAAGATATTTTGGGTCATGTTCTCAGGCCTTGGTGTACACCCTTTGCGTGTGACACTAGCTGGTTCTGTCCTTGGACTTAGGCGTCAGTGTGCAAGGAGCAGGCGAGGAAGCCAGGCTGAGGCCTTGCCTCTGTGGTTGGCACGGTGACCGCGTGTCCCCGGGGCACGGGGCGGGGCGCGGGCTCTTGGGTCCCCGGGCTTAGGGGTGGGTGGCGCAGGTTTGCTGCGAAGCCGAGTGTGCTCGGCCCTCCCACCGGCCCGGCTTGCGATGTTGCTGGCAGCTAGGAGAATCGGTTACCAGCTGTCCAGAGACTGCCTAGGTCTGGGTGACGCCGAAGGAGTGGGGCCTCCCTCTGCTACCGCCCCGGGTTGGGGTTGGGAGGGAGCGCGGCCGGCCGCGGGTGCCGCTCGGTGCGGCCTGCTGGGCCCCCTGGACCCGGGCAGGGCCTTCGGTGCCGGAAGGAGGCCCAGCCTGTGCTCTGCTGCGCTGCTCCCGTATTGAGCTCTTGTAGCAGTTCCTGAGTTCTGCACCACGTAGCTGTGCAGACAGCGCTGTTTCCCACCTTCCAGGCGTGTTGAGAGGCCAGGGCAGGGCGCAGAGCGGAGTCCACGGAGCGGGCCCGCCGTGCCGGGCAGCGACTCCTTCCCCTCGGGCTCCTGCCCGCCCGCCCGGGTCTGTCCCGGTGACCGTTCCCGGGGTGGGTGCGCGTCCGCTCTGCCGAGAGCGGCGGGACGTCCGGGCTCCCTGGGCGCGCAGGGCGGCCATGGGACCGGTTCTCCCCGGGCAGAAGGCGCGGCTGCCGCCCAGGGCTCCGCGGGTAAGGGCGTTCCCTGAAAGCGCGGTGCCAGGCTCTCGAATTCAGGATCCGCCCTTGGCTAACTACACGGCGAGGCACCTGGACTCTTCGGTCATAGCCGCTTCTGGTCTCTTCCTGCCTTCGCTGAATCTGAACCCAGAGCCCACACCTGAACTTGGAAGCTCTGTTTTAGATCTAAATATTGTGCCTGGTTATTTTTACCTTTGCGTGTTTGCTATTTGGGAAAGAGTTAGAAAAATAACCTTAATCAGATGTAAGAAAATTACTAGGTGTGACTAAATCACCTATTCATCTTTAAAACAGGAATAATGATAGTACCTACTTCATAGGATTAGTATCCACCTCATAGGATTAATGAAGTAATACATGTAAAATGTCTAGTATAGGGCTTTGCACAAGATAAGCACATTTTTAATTGATTATTTTTTTTGAGACAGGGTCTCGCTTTGTAGCCCAGGCTGACCTTGAACTGGTGGTGATCCTCCTGCCTCAGCCTCCCAAGTGCTGGGATGACAGGCGTGTACCACCTTGCCCCACCATAAGCACATTTCATAATTGTGTTAGGTATTATTAATGTTTTACTATTAGTCTCTAATTATACAACAAATATTCATTGTGGAAAATGTAAAATAAAACAATGAATGTAAAAATCATCATGAACTTTCCACCTACTGATAGCAAATGTGACTTTTTTTTTTAGGTACTGGGGATCAAACTTGGTCCTTGTGCTTGTGCAGCAGGGGGCGAAACCACTGAGCTAAATCCCCGGCCCAAATGTGACTCTTTTAGTACATCTTGACAGTCTTATTTCTGTTTTCCTGAACACATATGCTTTATGTAGGGAAATAAAAATTATACTAGTTTGAAACCCTTTTTTCACTAAAATGTGTCTCTTGTATTGTTAGATATTTGTGCTTTTTTCAGCCTTTTTAATTTATTTTTCTATAAGTAAGTCTGTAGTGAAGTCTTTTCTTCTTGGGCTAAGTTCCTGAAAGAGAAATTGCTGGGTCAAAGGGTATATAGATAGACTTTTGTATATGTTGCAAAACTGGCATTCAGAAAAATTCTACAGATTTGGATTTCTGTAGAATTCATGTTGGTGCTCACTTTATAACACTGGGCATTATAATTTTCTACAGTTATCAATTTCATAGGTAAAAATATTAAAGTTTTATTTTCTGAACTTTTCATGTTTGAAAGCTATGTTCTTCTAAGACTGCTTGTCTGTGTCCTTTCTATGGTTTTCGAGAGTTTTTGATTTGTAAAATGCTCTATTTTTTAAGGCTGTCAGCTCTTAATCAGGGATATTGCAAATATTCTTTTCAGTTTTTAATTTCTTTTAAATTTCTGGATATTAGAGATTGACAGAGATTTTTGTTTTTTAATTGTCAGATTTATAGTTTTAACCTTATAGTTTCTGCCTAGTATGGCTATTTCCGCTCCAAGATTGTGTGATCATCTGATTTTAGTTCATTTTTTCAGCCATCTACTTTAATCCCTCAGATATCAATTGGGTGCCTGTATATGGTAGTGCTAAGTCAATTGTGAGACAATAGAAATTATCCTACCCCTTTGGGGCTTCAGTCTGGTAGAAAATAGACCTTAATGAGGTCATTGTGCTACATGAAATAAGTCTGACATAGAAAATCAGTACTTTATGATTGCACTGGTAAGTGGAATCTGAAAACGTTAAACTCAGAAACAGAGCAGAAGGGCGCTTCGTGGGGTCGGCGGGTGATGCTGTGGTGACACTGGTGGTCTTAGGGTTAGTAGAAGCTTTCAGTTATAAGATGAGTAAGTCCTGGAGACTTAACATACAGCATCGTGGCCCAAGTGCGACAACAGCGTATTGTGTACTAGAAATTTCCTAAGAGAGTAGGCTGTAAGCATTCTTATCATCAAAAACATGGTGACTGTAGGAGAGGGACACGTTAGCTTGATTGTGATGATCATTTCACATTGTATACATACGTCAAAATGTCACACACCTTAAATATGTGCAGTCTTCCCTTGTCAGTTATACCTCAGTAATTCTGGGGAAAAAGAAAACAGGCCGTAATTTGTTTTATACTCACGTATAGAATCAAAACTGTGCTAAGCGTTCTGAAGGAGGGGGAAACGGTGACCTAAAAATAAATACTCACCTGTTTGGGGAGGTCTAGGAAGTGACCTGGAACTCAAAGCTGAGGAAACTGTGGTTAAATCACAGTAGGGATGGTGAGTGGAGAGCGTTTCGGGCCCTGTCAGAAGCCATGGTGGCAGAAGCGTAGGCCTCAGGAGGAAGCAGGATGAGGTCAAGATCATGACTGGAGGGGAATTTTGATGGCAGTCTAAGGGGGACTTGCAGGTCTTCTACAGATTTTGATCTTACTAATGTTGTTTCAGATGTGTATTCAAAGTAGATGATGTGATGAAAACTTTAACTTTTAAATTCTTTTGGAGTTCATTTGATCAGTGACTGTAGAAAAGAGGCCCCCACGAGCTGCTGTCCCTTCTGCCCTGAGAGGCAGTGAGAACGTGCTTTCTGTAAGACAGAGAGGCACTAACCAGGCGGCGGACCTGCCTCTGCCCCTGTCCTGGGCTTCCCAGCCTCCAGGACGCTGAGAAATACATTTCTGTTGTTTATTAGCTACTCAGTTTGTGGTATTTTGTAATCGCTGCTCCAACACCGGCTGGCTTTTCCTCTTAACTTAGCCTTGCATGAGGAAAATCTGTTCATTTGTAATGTAGGCTGTATGTGTCTTTTTTCTTGGAGTCCTGATTCTGGGTGACCTTGTAGGTCTCACAGCCCCTTTGGCCTTTTATGCAAGAGGGCAGAGCACTGGGCACAGCCTCACCAGCCCTGGGCCCCAGGTCCTCACTGGCTGCGGTCTGTTGTCCTCGGCAGGGCGTCTCCGGTCCCTCCTCCTGGCTATTTCCCATGAAGCTGGGAAAACACTACAGGTAATTTCCAAGCCAACAGTTTTGTCCACAACAGAGCTTACTGCTCATTGTTTTTCTTGGTTAAACTTCTCCAATATCAACTTAACGTTTGTGGATCAGTGTGTCCCTAATCCCATTGCTTGCTGGGGAGCAAAGGTGGTAAAAATTAAAGTAGCATTGGTACCAGAAGAGAAGTATTGACTCGAGGAGAAATCCCAGGTGATTTATTGGAAAAGCAGTTTGCTTCCTGTGATGCGCAAGACGCAAACTCCAGGAGGTGAGGCCCGTGCTGTGGAGCGGAGGAGGGAATTCTCCCATTTCGCTGCCCTCCTTGTCCTTGGCTTAGGTCTCAGGGTTTAGGGGAGCTTTAGTTGGCAGAAATTTCTTCAGTTTGTTGTTGGGCCATGGATCCCTTTGCCAAGTTCCAGGACTGTGAAAATGTCAATGAGATAATGTGCCAGTGGGCTCAGGTCAGTTACTTGTTTTTTGTATCATTATTCAGAATTCCTTTAAAAATGTTCCTCTGCCCCATCTGAGATGTCTTGGAGTTGCCCTCCCCAGTGCACAGCTGCTTGGCTTTTGTGCTTCATGGTACCGGGTCATTCTGTTGGAGTGAGGTTTGCCTGGCAGTGATGCTGTCGTCAGAATACATTATGAGGCTTGTGTGGAATGGGTATTGGTACTCAAACTCACGTAGTGTGTGGGCATCATTTTGGTTGACTATAAAGCCCTAAAAAAGCACCCTTTGGACTAGTGAGCTGTCAGCCTGAAGACTTCTCCAGACAGTTGTTTGCAAAGCAGACTTTAAATGCAAATGTTCCTACACCAACAATTTGCTGCAATTTTCTACCATGTTTTCTTGGTCACTGCTTCATCCTGCTAAAGATCCTGGTGTCAGTTGAACAGTGCCTAGAAGTATAATTTTGTTGAAGGGTGAAATGCAAACACCCATTACCATTTGTGATGCTCTATTTACTGGGTTGCTTATTTTCTCTATGCCTTCTCAGGAGTTTGTAAGCAGTGGCCTGTGTGTCTTATGCTTCACGGTGCGCCCAGAGTCTAGTGCAGAATTTGGGGCTTCACGTGTATTTATTGAATGAATAAATGAACTTGAAACCACCCTAGACCTTCAGGTTTTTGGCCTTTGTTTGTGAACCTGCAGCTTTGATTAAGTAGGTTCTAAAGCCTACAGCAAATTATTGGATGTAATCCACACCATTTGGCAGAATCTGAACAAAATGGTGTTTGGGAAAAGAATAATTATATGTGAAATGCATTTTCTCATGATTGGCAAGATCTATTACTAGCTTCTAGTTTATCTGAATTTTTTTTTTTTGGTACCGGGGATCAAACTTGGATCCTTGTCACTTGTGCAGCAGATGGCAAAACCACTGAGCTAAATCCCCGGCCCTAGTTTATCTGAATTTGATTCCTAGAAAGTAGTGACTGGGAAGCACAAAAGCCTAAGAAAGGATAGGATTTTCTTCCCTTTGGCCTTGCCTACCTAGCTCTTCAGGCATCTGGGGCCTGACTAACTCCCCTCTGGGACCTGAACCAAGCTAGATTATGAAACATTTTGGTAAGGTGGGATAGGGATTTAGAGCTTTTTTGGTTCTAGGGTTATGCAGACAGAATCCTAGATTCTTCGTTTTGAGTCTGGATCTGAAAGTCCTTTTCTCCTGACCTGGAAAGAGGACAGATCCACTCCATTCTGGTCTCTCCTCTCTCCACTCTCTAGGAAGAAGCGAGTGGTGGAGACCCTCGGTCAGAGGAAGGTGAGTGAGCCTTGGCCCAGGTACAGGGGCAGACACCATGGGAGCAGGGAGGGGGAGGCAGGAGGGGCTTCCTCTGCGGAGAAGCGTGATCCCACCAGGAGCTGGGCTGGTGACAGGCCTGTTTTGTATTGTCCCCTGCCCTGCATCTCGTCATTTAGTAGTTGGGCTTCTCTGCTGATGGACTCTGTTTCTCTGAAGTTGGAGGTTAGGGACAGACAGAGGCTGCCTGGGAATTTCGAGGAGAGTAGAGAAGGTAAGAGATAGCTGCCATGAAAGTGGGCCAGAAAGCTGCCTGGAGAAGTCTGGAAGGGTTTCCAGACAGCTAAGGTCCTGAGGGTCACTTTGTGGAGAACGTAAATGTGTCCAGCAAAGACCTAATGCTGGTCTGCATTGCATCCAGCAAGAAGCCTTCTTTGACCGTAAGTTCTTAAGTTTGATTTGTATCATAAATGTGTCCCCATTACTTTTTTCTTTCTTTTTTTTATTCAATTAAGTTTATTCCTTCATTTTAGGTATACATTATGATCACATTCATCACTGGGAACTTGTACCTGTACAGGATGTATCTTGGTTCTTATTTTTTCCCCATTCCCCTGCCCTCCCTTCACCCCCTCCACCCTTCCCTATTTACAAAAGCTTTGTTTCCATTTTTTTTCTTTTTTCATATTTTTTCTTTCCTCTACCCTCCTCCCTACTTCCCTTTCCCCTTTGAACCTTTTCTTCCTATTCCACAGTATCTGTTATACATTTTGGTCCCCATTTACACTTTCAGTTTCTCACACCAGAGAAACAATTCGGTATTTACACATGTCTGTCCTATTTATTTCCCTTAAGAGTATCGCTTCAGTGTGCATCCATTTAGCTATAAATGACTCTAGTTTATCATTTTTTATGGCTGAGTAGTACTCCATTTTATAAAACCCCACATCTTCCTTATTCAGTCCCCAGTTGATGGGCAGTTGGACTGTTTCCAAGATTTAGCTATTACAAACTGTGCTGCTGTAAATATGATGTCCCCATAACTTTCACGTCAACTGCACCATGCCTAATAATTCTTTTTATCATTTTGGGTTGAAACATCAGCTTCTTGCATCTGTGTTGTCAAGGACAGACAATGCTCATTCTCACTTTATCCATAGGCTGGGGGTGTGGGAGTGGGGGCAGCGCCTTCTCCTGCAAGGCTCTGGGCATTGTTTGAATTGTGTGAGAGAGGAAGAAAGGGCTGGGAGGTGGCTTGGGGGAGCATGTTCTCATGCATGCTGAGGGCAGGACTGTCAGGGAAGAGTGACAAGCAGCAAGAAGAAGTGCTAGGAAAAGAAAATCCAGAATGAGAAGTGCTGGATGTGATGAGAAGTCACTGGTGACCTTGGCTGGTGGGGAGTTTGGATCCTGAAGTAAGATTGCAGAGCCTGGGAGGGAGGGAGAGGGAGGGGAGGGAAGCAGATGAAAGTACTAGGCTCTGTTGTGTACATGCGCAAGTCCCCTGATGAGTGTAATAAGTAATAACCATTGTGTACTGCAAACACAGACTAATAAAAATAAAAAAAAACAGTGCATGATTAAGCATTGTTCTTTTCCCTCAAAATTTAGTTTCCAACGCATACTGACTCTTTGTAATTGGGGAAGATTTATTGTACACCAAAGTTTCCAAGAAAAATGTTTACCACTTAAACAAAATTGTCAGCTATGCTATTTAGATGACTTAAATTGTAGAGATGCAGATCTTTCATATACGTATGGAAGCATGTTAAACCCAGGCATCTCTGTGCTTTGAATTATCATCTGGAATAGTTTTGGCATAAACAAGCCAACTTTGCCAAGTCCTGTCTAACAGATATTAGTCTTTCTACTCCTAGAATGCAGTGATTCAAAAATTTTTGTGTTTTCCGTAGTCTGTCACTTTTTAATGTCAGGTTGACAAGTTCTTTCTTTTTTGGTATTTTTAAGGTCTCATGCAAATGTTCCTGAAAAATGGTAGCTAATTATACTATTTCTTTTGACCTGACTTTCCTCTGGCACGGTCCCTGGCTACAGGTTATTGTGTTTCTTCCTAATAAAATGAGGTAGGCGTGGCTCTCACTTGTTTTCATTTCATTTTATTTCTTTGGTCCCAGAGGTATTGTGTTTCTTTGGCTCCTTTTTAACTTACCTGCAGAGCTGTTTACGTGGTTGGTTGTGCAGGCAACTGGAGGAACATTTTGATTTTATTTAATTTCCTAGTTGTCTCGGAGACAGTGGAATATTTGCTGGGGGAAAAATGCTTAAATTTCTTCCTAATTAGAAGTTTGAAGGTTTAGTATTATTTGTGTACATGCTAGCAATAAGGCATGGAAGGTATAAAATCTTCATTGATCTTATTAGAAATTCCTTTTTTTTTGGTACCAGGGATCGAACTCAGGTCCTTGCACTTGCGCAGCAAGCGGCAAAACCATTGAGCTAAATCCCCGGCTAGAAATTCTTTTTAGTCATTGATCTTGCTTGTAACTCAGCATGTGTTTGGTCGTAAGGTGTAGCGAATTGTCAAGGCAGAAGATGAGCATTGGTGGTTCTCGGGGGTCAGACTCCCCAAAGAGATTTTTAAAATAGATGTTAAATAAATTTCTGTGCATTCACATAATGGGATTCTATTTTGCCATTAAAAATTAGGTTGTAAAGAAAAAAGTATCGCCACAAGCTGTCTCTGCAATGCGTACCTGGTTCTGAGGCTTGAACCCAGGGCCTTGTGGGTGCTAATCATGCGCTCCCACTGAGCTCCGCCCTGTCTCCTGCAGTATATTTTAAATATCACGAGGAGAGTCAGAAAGTAGTGTTTATATCATGATTTCATTTTTGTATTTGATTCCATACCCATTTATTTGCTTATTTGTGAGCAAAAAAGAAAAGTCTAAAAATATATGTCAAAATGTCAAGAGTGGTTATCTCTGAGCGTTAGAAATAAGAGGGCAGGGCCGGGGCTTTAGCTCAGTGGTGCCGCGCCTGCCTTGATCCCTGGTACCAAAAAAAAAAGAAAAAAAATAAAAGAAATAAGAGGGGCTTTTCTGTTAAGATTTATAGTCTGAACATTAATAGTGATTTTGAAAGAAAAAGCTGATTTTTTATCAAAGAACTTTCAATGAAAATTTCCTGTCTGTAGTGACGTCTTGATTCTTTTTTGACTGAGCTCTTTTGTTCTTCATAGAGAAACATCTGGAGGGCGGAGAAAAGAACTTTCCAACTTCAGTTCAGTTTAGGGGAGGTCACGTTACTGTCTGGACTTGGATTTAAGTTGGGATCAGAAACAAACTGATCCTCGGGACAGACGGGGGATGAAGTCTGGGTGGAGGAACCATGACCAACGCTTAGAGTATGGTATGAGGATGGCAGTCCGGTTGGTGCCCTCGGCGCGGCCAGGGCAGTGACCAGTAGACGAGTTAACCGAAGTAGTGTCCACCCTGCTGGGGTCGCAGACTGAAGCACAGTTCACGACGACGGGTGGGCAAAGCCCGAGGGTCCAGCAGATCCCAAGTTGGACTGACAAAGAGCAAATCTGTGGTCGCTGAAGATCCAGCAAGAACAGGGCGAGTGTTGGAGGCCAGTGAAGCTCAGCAGGTGACCTGGTCATCTCCAAGTGCCCATGCTCACTAGTGAAGCCTGTTAGGCAGACACTGAGGAGTGCTGTTCCCCCAGTCACAGGGTCACGTCCTCTTTCATGTCACCCCGTAGCCCACACACAGGTACCGTTTAGGTACGTGGATGCAATCCCTGCAGGAATTTGTTACACACATCTTGATTGAAAGAAACTCTAACTAATGTTGCAATGTAATTTAGCTCACATTCAGTTAAAAAACAGGCAAAAGGAAAGCTCGTTGTCTGGGATGCATTTAAGAGTGGCAAAGCTATGAAGGAAGGGAAGGAGGTCATTTCCTTGTTCCTTCTGAGGAAGGGGAGGGGCCTAGGGAGGGGCTCAGGGACTCCAGGTGTGGGCAGGGAGAGCCTGATGGCAGTTCCTGGGCTGCTCTCTTCAGAGCTTCTCATCACACTGTAGCTTTACACCTCGGGCACTTCTGCTGTTAGTTGTATTCCCATTGAGGTGCTGCAGAAGGAAGCAGTCATGGACACGGTGAGTATGCGCTGGTCTGAGAGTCCAGGGCTTCTGAGCTCCATGAGGGCCACAGAGGATCCCACTGAAACTGACTCGGGAAAGCCCTAACCCTTGGCTGAAGATGTGGCCTTGTTTGGAGTTAGGGTCTTTCCAGAGGTGACCAAGTTAAGGTGAGGTCATGGAGGTGGCCCTGATCCAGAGAGACACAAACAGGGAGGTGGAGGTGAAAAGGCACGTGACAGATGGCCTGCATGTGTTGAGGGGACAGGCCTGGAACGGGAGGAGCAGCCCACCAGCACCCTGACTGAACTGAGTCTCCAGAGCTCGACACTGTAGACTTCTGTTGTTAGGCCATGCGGTCCTAACAAAGTCACACAGTTGTCTTCTGTACTTATGATGACCTGTTTCGGGGGCTTTTAAACTAGAGCAGAGACAGCTACTTCTCCCCTGAGATTTAGGGATCACTAAGTAAGGTGACTGAAGAAGGCTGGGAGTAGCGCTGTGGCCTGTTCTCAGGTCACCCAGCTTTTGTTTAATGTAATAGTTATCTAATTATTTTTCAGAGCTGAGCTTTCTTTCCTTTTCTTCTTTTGTAAACCTTTGTTCTGTGTAAGATTTCATAGAGTATTTTTTATTGGTGTTATTTAAGGAATGGATTCTGTTTCTAAATTAAAATCACTCGTGCTGTGATGACCTCATTCAGGTTTCCTCAGGTGTTGAGGACCGCACAGGAAAGATCTTCAGGGGATGCATCACACACAATTCCACTCATCTGCTCCTCCCTGCTGGGGCAGAGAGTTTCTTGCTGCCTTTGACTTGAGGCACAATCATGTGGTAAAATCCAGCCAATGGGAAAGATTGCACCCTCTGTTTCTCTTTCCTCTTTTCTGCTGAGTGGGACACGATAGGAGTTGGCACA